CCTATGACAATGACTCCATATTATTCTCTGGTTTTCTTGCTAATACACAAAAGTGATTAGTTGACATAGAGGATATTTTTTCCTAAGATCACTCTGTGACATGGACAGACTCTTTTCTTGTCTGTCTCAGCCACCACAGACAAAAGACAAAATATTCCTTGCAAATACATGAAAAATGCTTCATGAAAAAGGAGTACTAGAGTAAAAAATAAATAGAAAAGAAAGAAAGCAATGCAAATTGAAGCAGGAAAATCCATTGGTATGTCTTAAAAAGCATGAACACTATCAGCTAAAATATGAAAACAATTAGGAAGAGATGTAGATTCCGTACACGTGAGAAATAATACAACAACCTGCTAATTGGAGACAGTGCTATTCAAATGTTACTGATGAACAAAGACTGGGACATAATTATGTGAAAGGCGGAGGAGGGTTACAAGAAACGCTTCAGTCTAGTAGACTGAGCCCCAGCTGAGGAAAGGCTAAAACAATAACCATGAAAACAAGCGTTAATAAACTACTGTCACTGTACACAGAGGATAAAGAAGAACATGTTTGTTTACACAATGAGCTCAATTTTTGTCTAAAGACAGACCTACCTTTCACAAGAGAGTCGTATACAGATATGCATAGTATGGATACACATATGTCCTATAAAAACATCATCACAGTTTGTAGTCTGTCTAGTAGTAATTTTGAAAACGTGAGCTGGGGGAACTTACATGTGATTATTTGTTTTTAATTACTAATATGCTTATTTAAAATTTAATTGTGACTATAGAAAACAAATGCTCAGATCTGGCTTCTGGTGCCTGTGTTGCCATTAATAATCACTGGTTTCTATCCTCAAGAGATAGAAAAAGCAAAAAACCTCACGTAACAGGGATGCTGTAAAAAGAAATTCATTAATACTGTATTTGCAGATCACTCAGATACCACAGTAAGAAACAGCACAGAAAGGCCTATGAGGAAATTAATCATTCTGCATTCAGTGCAGGATCTGGCAGATGTGCAAAGAAGAAAGCCTAGAGACATACATTAAATATGAAGATAAAAAAAGATTCTAGCCATTACCAGCAGAAATAATATCCCCTGAATGAACATCAGTTGCCTTAGGCATTAAATGTTTGATGTATTCTCATTCAATATAAGGGAAAACCCTCTGATTAATATGCTAATATTACAACAAGTACCAGCCAGGTATTCTGTGCAAAATACAGAATCTGATAACATAATTGAAGTCTATCGTAAATATATGATATGGGATTAGTATTTCCTTATTTTTTCATGCTTAGTTTTGCAACTAAATAACACTCCCACAGTCCAGCAATTATTGGCAAATGTACATTATCTCAGCAGTCAGAGAATCCTGCCACCACAGCTGACACAGTATGGTATGTGTTAGCACAATAAATCAATCCGTGTTTCACACTGCAGCCACTGGACTCCTGTAATCAAGCTCCCCTGCTTTACAGCTACCTCAAGTAAGTCAGGAGAGCATAGACAGGGCAAAAAAAATTACTGGAGTGATGAAAAACCTGCAGGTTCACAGCTAGCTCAGATGTCTGCACTAGCATTGCAACTGTGAATTACTAATTTTATTTCACTCCACATCAGTTCAGTTCTGCTCCCCCTCCACATAAGCAGTTTATCTTACCCCACCAGCCCACATTTGAAGTCAGATTTCAGCCTTCTCTATTAATCAATAGGGACAGCTGCTGCAGAGGAAGGATGTGTGGAGAGGACTTTAGGTAGGATGCACCGTTGTGGCGGAAAAGATCTATAAAAACATCTTTCTACAGTTCTTCAGAAATGGGGAGAAGAGGCAAGGGGACTCAATGCATGACTGTCCAGAAAAAGGAAAGATGTGCTGAAATAATCTGTCTGGCAGAAATAGTCTCAAGACCTGTGTTAAGATGCAGCAGTACAGGAGCCTACCATGGTTCCCTGTACAAAAAAGCCAAAACTGCATGAAAACATATGGATGACAAAGTACTGCTCTTCAAGCAATCCCATGTGTTTAAACTGATTCTGCTTTGCTGAGGCTGCTTAAAGCAGCCAGGGCATGCTACCTGAAGATTCCCTTAAGGTTCCTGGGCAATATATTAACAGGTATATCCATGGCCAACAGCCAAATTATCCCTCGTCCTGGCCCTAGGAACCAGTCTGCACCACATGAGGGCACTGCCCAGGGGTTCTGATCACTCAGTCTGTTGAAAAGAAAGGCAAAACTCTTCCACCCTCTTCCTGCAATAGCAATTCTCTCTCATATTCAGTAGAACAGTTTGGAGACAGTCTGACTTGTGCATACAATCTGCCTTGGAAAGAAGAGCCAAACCTATGCCCACCTAGCAAGGTGAAGGCAGACTCAGACAGGCGTGAAATTCCCAGAGTCCCACTGGCTGTGTATGTGCTTTCTGTCCATACTGCCCATGGCTTGGGTGCCAAGCATGTTTGCTGCTTAGCAAAATCAGAGTCATTTATCAGCTGAGGAACCCCAGAGTAGTGCTTGGTCTCTCTGCTGCCTAATTCAGACTGACACCACAAGTCGGGGTTTGGGTCTGCTCAGACAAATGTATTTTGGTTCTCCATCCTGAGATGCTTCACAACTTGGCTGAGCCACTGATTTGTTTACTGCTTTCTTCACCAAGAGAAGGGTCAAGGGTGTTAAAAAGGGTGCATGGCATATTTTAAAGACAAATCTGACCAGTTGCAGGGAAAAAAAAAGTTAGTTGTCTTCATGGATATAAGTCCAAGTGATAATGCACAATTCCCTTCCAATGATCAGTTCTGACAGATTTCAGAGGATGCAGGTGGCCAGCCCCTCACAAACTAAAATATTAATAATTTTAGTAGACAGCTTTTCCAGGACAGCATAGCAAAGATTAATGTTATCTAGGTTTCTTTTTAAGCTAGCCTCACACTTAGCTTCTATTTGACACAAACAGGACATACCATAAACTGCTCATTTCAACATAAGGTCTACTCATTTCAACATAAAATTAAGACAACTAAATCTGACTGAATTAAAATGAATTTATTTCTTTTCAGGAATGCGAAACCAAAGAAAGATTTATCTAACTTCCATGGAGATAAAAAACAAACAGCAAACATAAATGAGTGAAGGAATTGCAACAGAGCTGGCAATCACCTTGCCATAACCAAGACATTCTAACAAAAAATATCAGCGAAGAAATTAACAGACCAAAACATGGAATGAGAAAAAAAATCATAGAGGGAAAATCTAGAAGTTGCAATATTGATGTTTGAGAAAGGCCAATAGTACACAATGATATATACAATTCCAGAGTTCGAAGATGATGACAACAAAACTCACAAGAATTACTAGCAACTTTCTCCAATCCTTTGTTTGTATATGTATATGTGTAGAGCACAAACATATTGATAATTTCATTTAAATACTGTAAGATTTCCTGTCTCAGAAATCTAAAAAAGTCATAGGGGAAACTGAAGCTAGTAAAACTGAAGCTAGTAAAAGCCTGTGTTCTGGGATTTTTTTAAGCTCACAGGTTAGATTAATTCCCACATAAATAGAAGGAAGTGTTAAAATATTGCTCCTCCTTTTCTAGCTAAAAATTTCTCTTTTTTTTTTTTTTTTTTTTTAATATGATTATTTTTGCTATTGGGTATTTTTAATAAATGATACTTAAAATATCTGTTGCCAGTACATTGATATGAATGTATAGGCCTACCTCTCCTATTCTCTGACTCATAGGAAATTGGGACATTAGAATCACAGGGAAAAGAAACAACTTTTCAAAAGATAATTTCACTGGCATTGGTACTAAAATACCTGTTTCCTTTTGAACACATCAGAAAAAGACATTCCACATATATCTGACAAAGTATTTGATATATTCTTACTGGTTATCAAAGGATCAATATCTCTTTTGGTTATGTAGCAGATATCATCAAATCCCTGGAATAGGTAGTGTCATGAAATGAGGAGGATCTATAGTTATTATTTAATTAAATTTAAGTTTATTAAATTTAAATAATATGTCAATCTTGATTAAAAGCTGATTTCCCTCAGAGATAAGGACTTCCATTAATAATATTCTTTTGCTTGTGCAGTGAGGGGATTACAAGGAATTTAAACAAATATAGATTGAGTTTTGTGGGAAGAGGGTGCCCTTTATTCTTCACCATGAACAGTCATGCTATGTTAGGATGCTACTACACAGATCAACTCCTTTGCCTAATTAAATTTTTTAGAGTTTCCTTTGTGACCCATACAGGTATCCTTGTCAAAAATGATCACCATCAAAACACATTCTTTTTGATCTTTGAAAAGTGTATATTACCCTTAAAATCATGCTTTTCTCAGATATAGATAAATAAGAGTGTATGAGATTGCTGGAACACCTAAGAGAGACTAATTTCTTTCAGCAACTCTTGAATTCTCTTTACCATTTTTCCACACAGTTTTACATAAAGCAAGTTCATTCATGTAGTGCCAATGTGCAATCCCTCTTTGGATAGGGATTTTTGAGCCTCAAAATAACAATTAGGAAAGTAGAGACCAAAGAAATATAAATAGCACAAAGAACCTTGTCAGCTGGTTAAATCTGACCAATGGTCTATTTTCCAGTGCTTCAGGATCATCAGTACCATACACATGTTGGTTTATTAATTTACTTAGGTATTGTTCAAAAGAGGAAAAGCATCTTGTCCCACAAGGTATTAGTGCAGACTCTCAGGTTATGTTGTCTACTGTTAAAATGAGCACAGGGAATTTAAACACCTCTCTAACACACTGCCTTTTTATTTGCTTGCAAACTGCAATCATCAGCTACAGTAACAGTTTCAGACTTCTGACATCCGTGAACCAGAGAAAGCTGAAGGATTTCAGAGTGTGGGGAAGGTCATAGTGCAGTACCAGTATTGTGCATTTTATGAACCAACCAAGTCTGCATTTTAAATAACAGGAGCATCACACAGCAGACAATGGCAGAACGACATAAAGACCTTGGTCTTACCCTTTGTTTTCAAGTCGTTTAATACCTTTGATTCCACGGGCAGTTTATCGCTCACTAGTTTTATCTCAATATTTCGGGACGCCAGTTCAAGCAGTTTTTCAAAAAGTCGCTGACCCTGGGAAGGACATTAAAGGAAAGCAGAAGCTTTTAGACACAGAATTGATCAAACTGCATATCAACAAATTAAAAAAGCATGTTAAAACAAAAAAAATTATAAACAACACCTGAGTAACTATGTTCCCAGATATGATTAAACCTACCCTAAAACTTTGCAACTCAATTTCATTTTCTTGGAGAAATACTGTTCTTGAAGGCCAATAAAGTTTCTTACTTTTCCCAGAATGTGCAATACTGACAAGGTGACAGGTGTTAGGCAGAAAATGAAGTGTCCAGGGGTTTTATGCTGCATAAGCACATTTTGACATTAACTTTCTTCTAAATAATCACAGTCTATTGACTTAGTATTAAAAGCTCAAGGAAAACAGTTTATTACATTTTTTTCTGTATTGAGTGATATTTTTGCAAGTGGTTCTAAACACAGCACAACACATTTCCAAGTAGTTGCTTGCTTGTCTTCAGATGAGTTATACCAAGAAGGAAAATAATTACCTATAGGAATTTTATGAGCATTTAAATTCTATGCTGCTGTAAACTTTTACTATTTAAACCCTATTTCTAACACAGAACAAGAAAAGGAAAGTCATACTGAGCTGGATACATGTCAAAACAGAAATTTCATATAAAAAAAAAAAATTGTTCATCATGTTTTTCCATATCCAAAAAAAAAAAAAAAAACAAGAAGTGAAACTTCTGATTGCATTGTAAATGTTTAAATTTTAGGTTGAATATTTTAAATTAAATTAAAAATTTTAGTAACATCCAACTAGACCATGTGAAGAATAAACTCCTGTGCTGTTACTACACTTACAACCAGAGCTCTCTTCCTTGGTGCTATTCTAACCTAGTACTGCAGATACCACATTCAATTAGCAGTCCAATACTTTGGGCTTATGCACCTGACAAAATGCCTTCCCCACCTACACAGTTCACTTGAGATTCAATGCATTGTTTGTCCCAGGGTGAACAAAAAACAAAAAAGCAATAGCTACACATCATCTTTCAAACAAACAGGTAGAAGATAAAGCTCTTCACAGAAACATGTTACATAACTCTCTGTACAAACTAAGAATCTTAAAATGATCCTTCCATTCAACAAAAATGACCCAACCAAGAACAGTTCAGGCTGATTTAATATGATGCAGCATGGACCAACAAAACCTCAGACAAAGGCCCTCCCCACACTCTGAAAACTAGCAGCAGAGAGTGGAAAGCCTAGAAATTTGGCCTGTAATTGCCTAGACAGATTGATACTTTGAGCTTTGCTGGGCTTTAAGCATTATGCAGTCGCAGAAAGTAGTGCTTCCCCTGTTTAAAGTACAGACCTATTTTTTAATATTCATTTATTTTGAATATATGTGGCAAAATAAAAATACCATCCCCCTAAAATATAGCTTTCTCAAAATTATCAATGTTCCAGAGGCTGCAATGGAAACAGAACTGCTGCTTGTTTTACTTTTGTAATGTATGCCTGCTTGCTCACTTAAATCCATAGTACAGCTCCCTGCTCATCCTAGGGCTCACAAGAACCTCACAGTGAACACAATGCTGCCATAGTGAAAGCATTAAAGAATAGCTAACAGAACAGAAAACAAGAACATTCCTTGCATGAAGTTCCAAATGCTTCTTTTACTCAGATTCAGCATTTCTCAAGGTGACTAGGTGGTTCCATATGTAAGAAATACCATCCATGATTTTAACTCACACACCCCAGAGTCCTGAGCTGCTCTTTTAGTTTAAGGAGTGGCTTTCCCTCACATACCTCATCAAGCTAAAAAAATCCTTAATTATTACACCAGAGATTGTTTGGTCTTTTTAAGAAGAAGAGCAGATGCTAGAGAATTTAAGAATTAATGAGGTAAGAGTGTGGAGGAGACGGATGCTCCATATAGAGTCATGCAGCTGCTCCAGCATGATTCTGGAGGAGCAGAGGTGCACTGGCTGGTGTTCCTGAGTGCCCTGCTCCCTCCAAGAGGGTTTCTCATGCAACTGCTACTGTCTGGCACTGCTAGACTCCAATCAAATCTGGGAACAGCCATGGCCATCCTGCTGTCTGCTGAATTCCCAATCCTTGCTTTGCCCCATCCCCCAGCTACCCTGAAGCATCAGGCTCTGGCATGTCAGAGCTCAGCCAGCCTTTGGATATGCTTCAAATATTACAGCCCATTTGGTTTTCATTAGCTACATCTTTGCAAAAGTCAGCTGGGAAATTCAAGGATTAAAAGGTTTGCATTATGCATATTAACTAATATACATGCAAGTAGAAAAGGTACTCAGGTTCTCTGTGTTGATTCCATTTACTAGATAGACAGATAAACACCATTTTTGTTTAGGTTATCTGTAAAAACTGATTTTGTCTAGAAGAACAGCAGAAAACTCTGGCATACAGAAATAAACATGGAAAATGCATTCATAAATTAGATGGAAAATTATTATAATTATCAATACAAATTAATAGGTTAACTGTTCTGACAAAGAAATGCTTAGAAAGTTAATGTCTAAAACTGATAAAATAAATTGCTTCAGGGGATGGCTCCTAATTTAATATAGGGAACTACAGTAGTTATTTTTGGATATTATTGTCACTTCTACCTGCAGGAGACTATATTCACGTGTATTGTTTGATAAACAAGCCTGGACATTCTGTATTAATTGCAGTTTGGACAAAAAAGAATTTGGCAGCACCTCCTGAGTTTTCCCTGATGTAACCAACACAGCTGTCTCCTACAGGCCATGCTGCCTTCTGAACAGCCCATCCTATGGGTTCATAGATTGCTTGGAGTGCAGCCCTGCATTTCAATGAAACCGTCTCCTCTGGAAATGCATCTGTTTTCCCATCAGGGACACCACAAGCTATCCAATTATGGCATTTTTTTTTCAATCATATTTATGAATGGTAAAACCTCAGATTGATTCAACATTTAAAGCATCTCTAAGTATGATGGTTAAAACCAGGAGTGCACTTGCCACAAATATTTGTGTTTATACAGGTACATAAAAACCACCACCTGTTACAAAATTGGAAAGAATTCCCTTTGTCTCACCTGTCACTGCATCATCCCTCAGCAGGCATTCACACCCCCAAGGCTTAAGCTTGATGAACCAAACTATGAAAAATTCACAACTTGCTTTTAAAAGCAAGTACATACTCCAGTAAATAGGGCTACTAGAAATTCTTCCCACACTGCTGAAGAACCTAGACTACTTCTCCATTAATATTAATTTGAAACTCAGTTTCTACACTTTCTGACATGTTTACTTGCAATTTTACTGGTTTGTTCTATGAAAAGGAAAAAAGATGGGACAGAAGGTCTGAAATGTTTTGTTACTGCTGTCAGAACATTTGAAATGCTTCTGTTGAATACAAACCCTTATGCTGTCATTCAGACCACATTCCCTTTGTGAGACAATACCAGGCTGCTGCACCACTACGTGACAGTGATCAGAAGCACTGCTATAAACCCAGCTTGGGAGGACTGAGAATAGGAGCAGCCAAGTGCTATGAAACTGTGGCTACCTTGTAGCAAAATCTGCATTTTAACAAACAATACCACCAGAAATCTGCTTATCCTGATAAAATATTCTCTTACACTTTTTGCTGGCCTGTTTGAAAAACACCAAAAGTGACAAAATAGAATGTAGTAAGTATTTATCACATGAAAAAAATTACTTTTGCATGGTGGCCTTAAACCAACATAAATCTCAAACATCAGTTTGAACTGTATCTGCCACAGAAAACTGGTGAATTAAAATAACCCCAAAGCTGTCAATACCAAAAGGTCCTGAAATTTCCCCCAAAGCAATTTATTAGCAGACTCTAGACAGGTTGACTGTACCCTGGCTGATTTCCCTTGTCTGCTCTTGTCTCTGTCACCATAGATTCCTCATTAGAAATAAAATGGGGAGATACAAACTGCTGTATTTACTGAAGGACTCAAATTGTATTATTGTATTCCTCAGTAAGATAAATTCCTGCCGTTTAGAAAACACTTATCTTTTTAATCCCACACAAAAAGCCTGGTTATCTCATAGACTTTTCTTCTGGGTTTATGTATATATTTCTACTATTTTTCCCAAGTTTTGCCATAATCCAGCCTCTGGGTATATTTCTAAAACACCACTAAAAACCATAGCATTCTGGCAGAAACCAACAGAGCAAATAAATCAAGAAATCCTAACTTTTACAGCTGGTATTTAATACAGAACAAAGAAACTTTAATGCTTTCCTCAGTTCTTCTAACCAAACAGCTAATGCAAAAGAAAGGAATATGCTTTCATTTTAAAAACCTTCCTTTCCCTGAATTTATTTTCTACACCTCAGTCAGTACAAGGGAAATGCCACCACCTGAAGAGGAGAGATGTTTATGTAAAGACAAGCTTGTATACCTCTATAGCTGATCCTATCCAATTTGCACTGGGAGCTGCTAGATTTGGAGATATACTTTTTTGTATTTATTTTTAATAATTTTCAAGGAAGGAAACAAGTTCTTGCACTAACATTTTTGGGAGCTGCTAGATTTGGAGATATACTTTTTTGTATTTATTTTTTAATAATTTTCAAGGAAGGAAACTAACATTTGTTCTACCAAACAAATCACTTCAGCTCCTTGGGCAATGCATGTATGAGTGACTCATGGCATCTCACCAGAGATTCATTACAAAGCTGGACAACTGCCTTACATCAGTATTAGATGGATGGGACTTCTTGCATCAAGCCATATAGAAAATTCATAGTAGCTTGGTGAATAAAATCAGAAGTATGTATTTTTTATGTGATACTTGTAAAAATCAGATGCAGATCTGCCCTTGATCATCTTATGTTTATCCAAATATCCATCCAGGGCCAACTGGGTCATACACATGGCAATACCAGTAAGTCATGATGGCATTGATTCTGATCTGTGAAAAACAAACTGAAGTTTGTGAAGGACTTGCTGGAAATCTAAAAGGTCATTCTAAATTAAAGTTTCAAAACATAAGATGACCCAGAGGAAATGAACTGTGAAAATTGTGAACTGGAAGAATCTTGTATTCACCTCTCTCTTTGCACTGAAAGTGAATCAAAAGCCACCCTCAAAAAAAAAGTTTCCATTTTCCTCTACTATCCCTAAACATAGATTACCACAGGAAGAGCCACACACTCACATTTCACAAAAACCTCAGTGCTGCTACATGACAATCACCCTGCTATTTGAAAACACATATACGACAATACAAACTTGCCAAAATAGGTGGATTTTTTTCTGAATGAGACAAGCAGCATAGAGAGAACTCACTATTTGCCAAGCAAATATTTGTTTATTTAACTGCTTTATCTGTTGAAGCACAGAAACACTGTTTCATCATATGTCTGTCTTTAGGGAATCCAATTTAGCAAAGCTCATCAACTCAGATGACTGAGCATGGCTGTTGTGACCTGGACAGCTCAGTTCTTAATGAATGTTTATTTAGATTTGTAACAACAAAACACAGACAAGCAAGAGTCAAGGACACCAGGTAATGTACCCACAAACAAAAATACAGAAAAATACAGCAGGAAGTTCTGCAATTTTATATATGCAAGTGTATACATATCTATGTATGTCCAATATACATTTGGACAAGACAGACAATATGTATACATATAGATTACACATATATTGGGCATATATGTGTATGTGTGCATACAAAGTTGCAGAATTTCCTGCTGTATTTTTATTCAATATGTATATTGCCAATATGTGTGTGTACATGTACTCATGCATCTATGCATGGGACTACACAGATGTATATAGAGAATGTAATTAAACATTGTAACTAATTGTGAAAAAGAAAGCTACCCAACTCTAGCTTTTCTCCTTCAAAAACCCATGTCTATTCAAGTGCTTTTGTGGAGAACCTTGCTCTCCAATACAACTTGAATATTCATAAAGTGGAAATTGCTAATTATGTAGCAGGATGTGGGTCCATATGGAAAATGGTTATGTCCTTAATTTCTAAAAACAAGACTCCTTCAAGGAACAACTAGAACTCATCCACTAAGCACTCTACTACCTGGGAGTTTTGCATCTCATCCCCTTACCTTTCATAATGCTTCTGCTATGCTGGGCAAATTTCCCCAAACTCAGATTGTAAAGACTTGAGAGCATTGGACTTATTCTTCAAACAATTACTAGATTATAGTTATTGAAACTTCTCTGAAATTTCACTTCCGCTTCACAGAGTGGAGAAAGCAGATGTAATGATACAAATTTTCTCCCTTCCCTTTCACAGAGTGAGCTTTGTGTACATTCTCTGGGGCAGCAATTTGTTAAGAAACACTGCTTCTTGGCAATTTTTTAGCAATCAGACTGGCCAGTAACAATATAGTGTTTTAGCATGAATAGACAGGCTTGACAGAAAGATCTATCAGCTGTTCAGCCCACGCTGCTGTACAAATGAGAAAATGACTGGAATATTAATTGCTTTTAAACAGAAGTAATTACTCATTTTTGTAAGACTACTAGCAGGTAGAAAAAGATAGCTAGAACAGAGTATTATGAAAAATGTTTCGTTTTTCTGGCTTCAACTGTGCATGTGAGGACAAAAGACCAAATCCACTTCTTAGACATCTCTTCTTCCTTTCAATGCTGAATGGTATCTTAGAGTTTTTGCTTTGCAAAGCGAATGTGGAAAAGGGAATGGATTTGATGCTTAAATACTGGAATCCCAATTTCAATTTTGCTATTTTATATCCTCTGTTTGGGATTTGTTAGGCTCTGCCAGTTTTGAAGCAAATGACATGCTGAATTTTTTTCAGACAAAATATTTTTGAAAGATTCATGCACATATCAATTCATGCACATTCTAGAAACATCTAAGGCCCTATCTCCTTGAATTCATCTGCTTGAATGACAGTACATCGGTTTGAAGCTTCTTAGGCAATAAATTTAAATAAAGCTTAGCTGCACAATTACATTGTGAAAAAGTCAATATTTTGATATTCCACATAAATTTATTCACAAACCACATTCCGATATTTATAAACATTCTAAAATGTAGGATTTGCATTACATTTTCTATTCATCTGCTCACCGTATATTTTCAGTATTTTAAATGGACACGCAGCAAACTTTTTCTGAAGAAAATTTAATGCATGCTGCTCAACTAGGCTACAGTCTATTTCAAAAGAAGCAGAATATAGTTGGAGAGAATACCAGGATTTGCCTATCATCTACCAAAAGGCATTTTCCTACAGCACCGCACCAACAGAACTAGTAAGGAAAGCCAAGATTTATGCCATGGTAGAACAGAGTCGATTCCTTACAGTTAGCTGGCTGTCATTTTAGCACCAATTCATGTCAGCTGAGTGGCTCCTTTCAGCAAACAATCTATCTAGTGGAAAAGAGAAGATACTCTCAGCCTATCCCTTCTTTGGTTCTTGGTTTCACAAGTGATGCTAAATGGAAACCTTTCCTGACCATATTTCTAAGAGGATTGCTCTCAAGAATGAAGTGTTTGTTGGCACAGCATCACTGCAATGCATATCTGCCTTATTCACTATGATTTATGATTTTTCACGCTGTTTTTAATTGCAGAAGTCCTGAACACTGCTCCCTTGCAAGACTAATTTTGAAAACCTATGAATCATCTGATACAATATTGTTCTTTGTAAGTGTAGTTCTATCCATCTATTTGGCTGGAGAATTAATCCAAATGCTTGCCTTTTTATTTCATCAGTAGCACCAAATAAAAAATAATTGTATAGATTTATGAATGTCACCAAATAGGTGGATGTGCTAATATAGATACAATTTGACAGTTTTCTTAAGGTCACACAATGTCTTTCTTTCCTAAGATGGAAGTGCTATATGTTGAATGTTACCTAGTCCAAGCATACCACTGCTCTTAGAAACTTTTGTATTGGCAGGAAAATCCCCATAAGAAAATTATTTTTAGACTACCCAAACAAATAGTTCTGCTACAGGGAAGGGTTTTAGTTCTGTAAAATTAAGTTTGACAACAAGAACAGACTGTTAAGGTCCCACTCTTTTGTTAGGCTAGAACATACCTGGCATGCTGATGGATGACTGTGATTGAGGTCCCACTGGGAAGATACTATGTCAACAGACTTTTCAGCCATATTAAGCAAATTCATCCAGCCTTGGAAAAGAGACAAATGGGATGGTGCACTGTCTGAATAGTTGATCCCTTCAGGAATATTTTCCACGAGAGCAACCCTGAGAATAGATAAGGAAAAAATAACCACTTAACAAAAGTACTTTTCTTTATTAGAAGGCTCCAAATTGTAAAGAACTTCAGATTTTGGGCCTGGGGTTGAACATCTGCTCCCAGAGGCTCTCAGCAGCTTGCCACCCTGTAACTCTGAAGCATCTGACTGTCATGCTCCACACTTCCCAGAACAATGAAGTGCAGAAATGACCTACTGCTAATGCAGCAAAGCCAATCAAGCTTTCAAAGCTCTGCAAAAATAGCTTACACAGGGAAAAGGTTATTTCTTACAACACAGTAAGTGGGAACTAGTCCTTAAGGTGAGCATGGGAAGAATGAAACGATCTCTTGCTTTGCCACTCTCATCTCTGAATATGTTTTCTTCTCTCTAAGGAATGTGGCAAGATTCACACTCCCTGGCATTCTCTTAGGTCTGCTTTTACAGCTGACATTTTATTACACTGACGTCTCTAAACATGAATTCTCCCTTTCCAACTGCTCTAAGCTACCCAATTTTTCTGCTTTTGTTTACCTGTGTAAGGCTCTAACTGGGACCCGGTGGTTAAAAAAAGAATTATGACCTTTTAGTTTCTTGCTCTTTTTGGAAAGCTCTTTGATCTTACTGTCCACAGTTTTCAAAACATTTTCAAATTAGAGTACACAAATTCATTTGGAGACAATCACACCCAGGAAGCCAAACAAGCATTGTAGCAAACTGTCAGCTCAAAACATGCTCCTCTGCTTCAGGGAAATGATGTGTTTCATTCAGCACCTCACTGCTAGATTTCCTTAAATTGCATCAGGTAAAGCTTCTTTCTACGCTCAGTAAAGGAATTTTAAAATGAAATAAAGTCAAACAAGTTCTTCAATTCTGTCTTTAGGTAAAGAGAATAAATTTTCATATAAATGCCTCCAACATCTGCCACTTCTACTGCGAATGATACAAACCAGATGTAGGAAAGCTGTAATAGGAACTTGGAAAACACTCCTCTACTATATACAAGTACATCAAGCATTTCCACACTGGTTTTGTACTTGTCAATAGCGTTAATTATCAACTCCAGTAATATGAATATAATTTGTAAACTTTAAGTAAATCATTATTACAAAATTCCAGGGTAAAAGGGATTTGTACATGTTTTGACTCTTAGAAAAACAGATTAGTGCAGTATATACTATTAATTCAGTTCATCCTAGAGGGTTCACATGGAAACTTTTAGAGCTATTTCAGAATATCAAACATGTTTGTAAAGAGAACCCATTAAAAGACTGAAGATTGGTACTCTTAAACAATGTTAAGAAAACCCAGCAAGAATTGTGATAAAGTAAACCCATGGTCATTATCACAATCTCCTGGCCTGGCAAAAAATCCCTCCACTCAAACCAGAACAGGCACAGCTCCTCCTGCGTGTTCTCTTATTCCCCCAAATCTGTCAAACAATGTCACTAAGCTGCAATTACCAATGACACTCTCCACAACTTACTTTGAACACACTATTCTATTTATTAACATTTAACTTAGCTACATTGCAGTAATGAAGTCGGAAATCAGCAAATAAGCTGTAAAATGTAAAAAACACAACTAGATTTTTAAATGTCTTTAAAGTATATTTTATTCTAAAACATTCTACCTTCCTTGTTTACAAACTTTCTGAAATAACTAGTGCTCTAAAAATTGAGAGCCCTTTTAAAAATATTTAAAAATAAACTATTTTACTCTAACACTCAGATGTTCAGCCTTTTCTTTGCCAATAATCCTGTTACACAACTTCATAAAACTTTGGTTAGATCCCTTGAAAGCCTCGCTTGTTCTTTTTCAATAGTTAAAATTACAAATCATATTGCAGCTCTTAGCATGCCCATGTTTCCAGAACTTTTTTATGGAGAGTTGTAGGATGGCCACCTACAAAGAGCAAGAAATTGAAGCTGAGAAGATAAAGTGATCTCTACAAGGACATGAAACCCCCCTCATAATCCAGTTGCAAAGATCAGAAATGAATGCACCTCTTTCTGAAACCTTCCATCCCCAACTCAATCACATCTAGACACAGTAAAGAGTTATTCTGAATATGCTTCAAATACATTCTTAATACCAAATAATTTTTCAAAAATAAAATAATGGCAAATGCAGTTCTGATTTACCTAGAATTTAAAAGTGTGCATCACTTCCTTGAACAAGTAGTGACCAAAATTGCCCAACATTAGAATATTGCCTGACATACACAGTGTTTTCTAGTGGAACCCATGCAAATTAATTACACAGGAGCCCACAAAATAACTGATAGGAATTAATCTGTCACAGTCACTTCCAATGGCTTTTAGTAGTGTTTCCTATGGGCTGTACTTGTGTCTCACTGGAAAACATTAGCTTAATTTCCACTTCTCCTGTCTCTTTCTCTGGCAAGTTGAGAGCTGACAAAAACCTAACTCTGCCACAGAAGGGCTAGGATGATCTGGAGGTCATGTAGCTCAACCCTCCTTGTTAAAGGAGGGCCAATGCCAGCAGGTTGATCAGGACAGTATCCAGTCAGTTTTTTGCATATCTCCAGTATCTCCAAACCCAAAACTCATCATATTTGAGATGACGGACCTGACACAGCCAAATACATACAAGTTAATTCCTGACTTCACATTATTTAGTTGCACTTTAAGCTATAATGCAGGAAGAGTTGTGGGTCATTGCTGTTCACATACATTTTGTTACACATACCATCAAGATATGCACAAAAGTTGGGCTCTTCCTCATTTGTCATGGGTTAAAACCTTTTACTTTTTCAAGGAAATTAGCAAGGAAAATTTACTGGGCAATAAGGAATTCAATCCCTCTTAAAGGGCCCTTGCCAAGGACAAGGTGCCTCTTTGCAAGAAAATTTGTCCCGACTATTGGAATGAACTAGTTCTTCACTTGGACAACATCTCCCAACTTCTAAATCTGCACAGCATTCACCAGGCTGTGGGACCAGCACTAAATAACACACATGACTGCACAGCTCCTGCCATTGTATAATTTGGTTTTGGTTGTCCAGTAGAAGCCAAATGCATTCCAGTTAACAGAAGTGTTATTCAGAACAGACACTATCTGGAAATATTTTTCCTACTCTTCCATTTTACCAAATAGCAAGTACAGGGAAGTGGTCACAGCACCAAGCCTGAGTCCAGGAAGGGTTTGGACAATGCTCTCAGGAACATGATGTGATTCTTGGGATGTCCTCCACAGGGACAGGAGCTGGACTCAATGATCCTGATGGGGCCCTTTCAACTCATCGTATTCTATGATTCTACCTTGTGTTCTTTAGCAAAAATGAATAAAAATTAAAGACAAAAAAAAAAAAAAAAGACATTTCATCTAGCTAGGGCACTAGTTAAAATGTTGTTTTCAGAGCGTAGATTTCTCTTTAATAATGAATTGATTCTGCCATAAAATTCCAGTGTTAAAACCCAACACCAAACTCAGAAGTACAACAAAAAGCCAAGAACCAAGTTTTTATACTATGTGATTTTTCCTTTATAATATTCCCTTTTTCTTTGGCACAATAGCAAAGTTCCAGTGCTTAGTCAAGATGAGTTTAATTAAAACTTCTGTGCAAAAATTTGAGTTTGCAAGCCCAAATTCCATCAATATAAGCTAAATTTAGCTTTCATTTTTGTTCCAATATGACCCACAAAGAAGTGTTCTTCAAATGTGGTATTACAAAAACTTCCAGGAGAGAAGGTCACTCACAGACCTTGAGGAAAGTTAGACATAGTGACATAATTTATTCTGCAAAAATGGCATATTAATGAAGCAAAACACAACTGTACCATGGTGATTAAAACAGGTTTTTCCTATCCTCAAAATCATTAGCAGATAACCTTACACCTGCTGAATGAAGATGTTCGTCCCTCTCTGATTTCCTGGTGCTCTGTTTCATGTGATAATGCCAACATAGTCTTGTGTCTTCAGTTTTACAGCTGAGTATCCTCAAAACTACCTCACACAGAGTGAGAAAGTAATGTTACACAATTTCCGTGAAGTTAGACACAGAGACGAGGGTCAGAGTGAGATCCAAGCTCTTCTCAGCTTACAGAAATGGGGCAATAGAATGGTGTTTAATGCCTACCACAGAACAGACCATGACCTCAATAATAAGACTCTTCTGAGCTCAGCTATGACTTGCATTTAGCAATTCCAAGTGAATTCTGTATGCAGTTAAGGATTCTTGTTCATCTTTGACAGTTCTTTGGTCAGAAAGCAAGAAGGTTTGTTTCTGGTGTCACACCCATTTGTTCCTCAGAAGGAAACAGGGCTTCTTAATTTAGAACATGGGTTAATTAAAGCAGAGAGGGCTGGGACAGTGAAAATAGGCAGATGCTATATGTCTGTCTCTTGAAAAAATCTGGGGCTATTGGCAGAAATTTATAGCTCTGTCAGAAAATTTAGCTCTGACAATTTTACTAGTATAAAAGGAATATTTTTTGATGGTTCGCACCATATTAAAACAATAAACTCTGGAACATTATTCACTTTGGTTTATCTCAATCTACAGTCATCCACTAAAGAAAACATAAGTCATATGCACTTAAGCATCTCTACATCATCTGAATTTACTCACCATTAAAGGGAAGAAACTTAGTAAGAAAACACTGCAATGATTTATATGAGACAATAAAGAAACAAAAGATGAACAAAGACTTTGACATAAGGCTGCTCTATTTCAGACAAGGGACAGAAAAAAAAAAAAGATGATTGAGAAAGGCACGTGAGTTCTGTCCCTACACTATGGTCCTATTTAAAGATACCCTCTTGTGACCCCTTTTTCTTTCTTTCTTAACCCAGAAGCCCTGGAATCACTATCCCCTGGCCTGAAGAACCACATCTACTCACAGAGTTCCATTCTGCTTATAAAGCCAGAGTCTTAATGTTTATTCAAAACCTACCATCTTTCTCAGATCAGTGCTTTCAATTAAGGTTTTCACCATGTCTCTTTCAAACCCTTCACATCCTTCTTCATCACATCCCTTCTACCAC